TGCTCAATAAATTCATTAAATAAATAAATAAAATAAATAAAAAAGCAATTGGAAGATAGTTTAGTTAAGCCATTAGTGCGCAAGACTCTTTCCCTGACGCATAAAATCGTCTGACGTTAGTAAAATGATGAAGTTCACGGCGTATATACTGGATGGTCTCTTCTGTTTCTTTATGTAACTGTTACTTTAAAGTCAGTTGCATGTAAGGATAAACAGTCATAGGTATAAAACATTGTGAATTTCCACACAAAGCTTCAAAGTTTGATAGTTTAATGAAGTTTAGGACTTCTGCTGCAAAGCCTCGGAAAATTCCTCGGCTGAATAACGCAAAGTTTTACAAATAGTATAAGGCAAAAGTTACAAATTCTAGATCTATAGGACTATTTATATTAAACTAAAATTCTAATAATTATCTCAAATATTCATTAAGAATTACACATTATGAAACAGTTCTCAAATCTGTTCGTTTTGCACATAGGAAGTTCAAAATTCCTAAGTTGTCGCAACGTATGTCCATCGACATAATTTATTGATGACAGCAAGTTTTTAAATTTATGTTTTGGGTTACTGCATGGCTATATTCCATAACTTTGTTGTCAAGTTTTATTGACATCCTATTGTGTTATTGCAATTATTATTGTAGTTTTCGTAATTTAAACGTAACATGTCAAGAATTAATATAATTATACAAGAATCGAAAGTGTCAATTTGTTCACAGTTTAGGATACTTGATGACTAGATATCTGGATTGAACAGATCTTTCCTGCCCTTGCTAGGACCTGGATCTGCTTCCGGCTCTCTTGTTTGAAAGCAAACGAACTTGCCACTTTTGTCAGTTTTGATCTTACGAGTGAACTCCTCATACTTCAACGCGCCTTTTTGGGTTGCATCACGTGCAAATACATCATCGTCGACGACAAACGTTTCAATACCTTGCATGAAAATCAAAGGAGCGCATTCATCACACGGAGTTCTCGTAACAAACAAAATCGCGTCTTTGATATTTTTGTTATTTCGAAACAAGAGGGCATTCTGCTCAGCATGGATTACATACGGGTATTTCTTTTTTACAGGCTCTTTCTTTTCTCCAGATTTATCCGAACCAACAGGTTTCTCCGTCTTGGAAGATTTATCGTCTTTTGAAGAAGCTCTTGGAAACTCGCCATAAAGTGCTTTGAGAGGAAAGCCATTCCAACCAAACGAAAGAATTTCCATTTCCCGACTGACAATCACTGCACCAACGCCAGTTGTCGGGTCGTCTGTGCGTTGGGCCAAAAATCTCGCTATCGACATGAAATGACGGGCTTGCTCTGCGTGGGTGTGGTTTTTCACTGGATCAAAAGTATTATGATTGGCTTGCTTTGCGTGAGTGGGGTTTTTCACTGGATCAATAGCATCATCATCATCACGACCATCGGTAGTTTCTGTTTTCTTAATAGCGGGTTCAAAATTCAATTCTCTGCTTGGCAGAGCTATAGCTCTTGCCATCCACTCCATGACGTTGTCAAAGTACTTTAAAACTTCCGCTTGTACGTCTTCGTCAAATGCTGGCCACGGTAGATTCTTCTTAATAATCTCAATAGAACCAATCCATTCAGGCTTAAAATCATACGTTTTCATCAATTTACCCTTGTCTTTCTTTATCTGCTTCTCTATTTCTGCTAATGTTTTGCCTGATTTCACTACCGAATCGGCAAGAACTTGCTTCTCGACTTGCAAAACGAACCTTGTTTGGGCAATAACGCTTGCAGTAAACATATTGTCGACTTGTTTCATTTGGGTGTTGTTGTCATCATTGATGTTATTGATTTCCTCGCGAGCCTTTTCGTCGGCATCTGGTTTAATAACTTTGGGGGAACGATAATATTCTGGTTCACGCGGCAGAAACAAGACTCGTTCCACTTTCGATTGAACCAAAAGCTTTGCACAAATCGGGCACGGTTTTCGAGACATGAACATCTTACAACCCTTGGCTTTATCGCAGTGCTTCATCAACAACCTGGCTACAGCGTGGACGCCGTCTAGTCGAGAACAATCTGCGGCGAAAATCACGTCGTTTGGCAACACGAGCACCGCTCCGACCTTTCTGTGATCCTTTGGAGCTTTGGCATCGACAAAATCTTCCATCCAGAGAGCTATGATCATATAAAGATTGTGCTTGCTCACTCGCGAATAACTCTTCGCGTATAAACCCTTTTGATTGCCTTTATTTTCATCCTCTGGGCTTTGTGTGCGTGGTCTCTTTGCACTGGACGCCATGTTGTTGAGATTTAAGATAATGTAATGTAATGCGAAACCTGCTGTCGGCAAGGGCGGCTGAGAAAGAGTTAAGAGACAATTTATGGGGCGTACATTATATACAAAATACAACAAAGACGAGTATATCATGTGGTGTATCTAATTACTGGTAATTCTTGGAAGAACTGGTTTTCTTTTTATATTTGGTCAACCCCTCAAGGTCAAGTACTTCTATGAGGTCAAATTCATAACTGGATTGAAAAGAGTGTTTATATGATCTCCAAGTGCAACTGGATGGATCATGAATTATTAGTTTTCACTGATCTCAATGACTGAACTGGATTGAACAAAGTTTTCACTGATCTCAATGACTGAAATGAAATTAATGAATGGAATATAGTTTCACTGATCTCAATGACTGAACTAAATGGAGCATAGTTTTCACTGATCTCAAAGACTGAACTAGATTGAACAAAGTTTTCACTGATCTCAATGACTGAAATGAATGGAATATAGTTTCACTGATCTCAATGACTGACCTGAATGGAGCATAGTTTTCACTGATCTCAAAGACTGAACT